GGTGCATTCAGGTGAAATACTGCTGAGACTCAGGATTGTTCTTATACACTGAGGAGAGCCCTGGCTTTCACCCGGGTCATTTTTAAGACTTCTTAAAAAAACTCAGAAATGTTCCAGAGTGCCTTGTTTATAAAAGGTTTTGCTGTAGAAGACAAGGGGGGTTTTGGAGTAGGGCAGTGGCTGCCCATTCCCTGGCATGGCTGCTAAGCTGAATGGGACTGTGTTTTTCTAGCTGGAGCTGTGAACGTGGCCACCAGATGTGGCCAGATCCTTCAGAGACCATGGTTACAGACTAGCAGACCTTGGAACAACACCTTGGTGTTTTTATCTGGACTTTACCTGTCGCTGGAGGAGTTGTGACATGTAACTACCTGACTGGGAACTCTTCCCAAATCAAGACCTCAGCATGCCCCTCCAGGACAGACTCAGGATCTGTGCCTGGGTGTGTTTCTTGATCCAAAGCTTATCCCACTGCTAGGGAGGTGTGTGCTTGTGAGCTGGTGACATGAGTTATATAATTTTGTAGGAAATGCATATAAAAACCCCTCATTGAATGACCATATAGGGAGGAAAAAAAGGTCAATCAAACTGGTTTCAGTCACTCATACTCATTCTATCCTGGATTTTTTTCTTTCTCATGAGAGCCACTACTGTGTGTGGCCAGGCCCTCCCCCTAGGATGACTTTGGCCATGCAGAGGATGAGGAAAATCCACTATCAAGTTCTTGTCCAGTCTCTTAGGTCCTCTGGACCGGTGATGATGAACTGATTTTTGCACTGAGCTTTCATAAATTTCAAGAGTTAACCGTTTCTTAGACCCCAGCCTCTGGCTCCTGCAGCAAACCGCACTTTCCTCAGTGTTTACCCATATGATGGCTCTCCATCGTATCCTTAACCAGCATGGAGACCTTTCTTCTCACCCTCCTCACACACGTACACATTTCCATTCATGCTTCGCTCTGACCAGTCTTTGCATTCCCGTGGCAAACAACTAAAGCATCATGAGGTGATTAAAAGAATAATAGCATCCCTTTGTTCAATCCCAAACACCTGGGCCTGAAAGCACATCTCTGTGGCTGACAATTTCCCTGATCTTTTGGTCACTTTTTTCCATTTTGTGCTGGGAAGCTGGAATGCTGAAACATCTGCACCCTCCTGTGATTGCACGTACGGCCTCTGAGTTTTCACAATGAAAACATAATGGTATGGATCTGGCAGCCTGGATCACGCGTCTCATTCAGCAGATGCTAATAACGACTGTAGCCAAATATTAGATATTATTAAGAAGAAGATGTAAAATAAGACTGTGAAATAGCTTATGTTGGCTGGTAGCAAATATCTTCCTGACGCTTTGAAGCATGAGATTCGGCGTGGGAGTGATATGCTTTGATAAAACTATAGCAGCATCTCTGCCAGCTCAGGGTATGTATTTCAGAACAGAAGGATTTTGGGAACCTTCATGAGAAAGAGGCAGAAAACATCCCAGAGTCTTCACTGGCCTTCACCAATACCAACATAAGTGAGTAGTGAAAGTTGATATATGCCCTCCTAGTCACAGATTCACAGAGCGGTAGGGGTTGGAAGGGACCTCTAGAGATCATCTAGTCCAAACCCCTGCCAGAGCAGGATCACCTAGAGTAGAGCACACAGGAACAAGTCCAGGCGGCTTTGGAAAGTCTCCAGAGAAGCAGACTCCACCTCTCTGGGCAGCCTGTTCCAGTGATCTGTCACCCTCACAGGGCAGAATGGTTTCCTCATGTTCAGGTTGAACATTCTGTTTTCCAGTCTATGGCCATTGCCCCTAGTCCTGCCACTGGACACCACTGAGAAGAGCCTGGCCCCATCCTCTTGACACTCACCCTTTAGATATTGATAAGATCCCCCCTCAGCCTCCTCTTCTCCAAGCTAAACAGACCCAGCTCTCTCAGCCTTTCCTCATATGGACGGTGTTCCAGGCCCTTCATCATCTTAGTGGCCCTGCGCTCGTCCCTCTCCAGTAGTTCCTTGTCCTTGTTGACCTGAGGAGCCCAGAACTGGACACAGTACTCCAGGTGAGGCCTCACCAGCGCAGAGTAGCGGGGGAGGATAACTTCCCTCGCACTGCTGGCCATGCTCTTCTTAAAGCATCCCAGGATGCCATTGGGCAGGCCTGTTGCAGCTCAGATTCACTGGCCAGCACAACCAGCAGCACTGAGATTTGCTGCACCGTAAGGTCAGTGTCACTGTGGCAGATTAAGCCATGAATGATCCTTGCAATTTGGTACTTGGTCAGGAAATTTAGAAGGATGAAGCAGATGAAGAGGCCTCATTATTTTTCATGGTGCTGGCACCTGAGTTGGCTTCATCTGGCCTAAGGGGGTTGATGGCTGCAGCACCTGGGAACTTCTCTGGGATGGCAAAGGCACCTTCCATGGGCACAGATGCTGCAGGACCTGCCCCTGAAACCTGTCAGCTAAAACCTTGCA